TGATGACGGAGGCAGTATGACCTCTGAAACGTTGGTTAACATCGACCAGACTACACAGCGCAACAACCCAGAAGACAGAAATCTTCAAATTTTGCACTGATATCCAAATGACATATTTATTCAATAGCAAGGAAAGGGTTAAGTGGTATCTGTGATCTGTGATGATGGTCTGCAAAATATGTGTAATATATTATGGCATTTTCTGATGAATATATTGCTCTTGAACATTTGTGTAGTGTTTACTTCTGTGATGCTGCATTATGATTTATTTATAAATTCAGAAGTTTTCAAGCAGTGAAACAGTGGTACACATACTTTAGAAGTGTGGAAAGTGTAACAGAGTGAAAAGGAGAACATTGTAAGAAGTGATTTTGTATGTAATATAATTTTATTACTTGTAGAAAGCAAATAAGATCAGATTGTAGTTCATTATACAATACAATGACTTTCTAGCAAAGTTAATTGATTATGTAAAATTTATTTCTTAAAACATTTTATGGTGGAATTTTGGTCATTATGTGTAACTGAGTGACATGAATAAGTTTTTTTTTTAAAAAAAAGCTTTGCTGCAACATTTCTTTCATTTCTGAATACATTAATATTTACTGTTCAGGTCTTCCTGTATTATTTTTAGACTATTAACTGCTTCATAGTCATGATTAATTGAAGTAAAATTAAGCATTTTATGTAGGTGTTTTAATTGCAGGTACATCGAGTGTCTCCAAATCTCGTACCACGTGTTTTGACACAGATAGTTGAGACAGTAGCAGAAGAACTGTCACGTTTGATGTCATGTGTGACTCGCTTCAGTGTGGAGGGCAACCAACAAGCTCGGGCTGACATTCTGGCTGTACAGGAAACAGTCCGATTTTTCATTACTCCAACAGCTCAGTAGGTTATCTCAAGCTTTCACTGATTTGGTGTTTAATTACATATAGGATTAACATTCAGTCCCAAATTATTGAAAGTCTGTTATAAGAGAAATGTTTCTGTTTGCAGAAGTTTCTTTGATGAAGCCCTAGAAGCAGTTCCACCACTGATAAGTACAGCTGACATGAAGTAAGTAGAGAAACTACATAGGAATATCATTTCATATATTAAATGGAGTCTTTTTTTTTTTTTAACTGCTGAGATGGTGATACAAAAATAATAAATCTAAAACTGCACCTTTTACATATACCATTGGCTCTGTTTATTGGAAAATTGAGCTGCTAGCATTTGATTATGAAGTTGAAGTAACTGCATAAATAAGGGAATGAAGTTTCTCATATGCACATTACATTAACCAAGAAATCACAGAAATATTCCTAGAATGTTCTTTTGTAAAACCACTTCACTATACTCTTTATTTTTTCTTAGAACAACATTCTCAGTAAATATGAATGTAATGGAGTGTTATTGATGTTATATTTTAGGTCTTCAGACTATCATTATCTTTGTGACGGGTGTATGTTCATTTTTTTGTCTTTCAAACCAATATTAGACTCGAAGTTTGGTAGAGTTACATTTAATTTTAAAAATATAATATACTAGCAATTTATATATATATATACACAAATTTTTTCCACTCTCTACCCCACTGTTTATGGGATAATTATGTGTCAGTTTTTCTGCAGTGTACTTTTGAAATCATAGGTACTTGTTCTGTATCTTTATTTTTTCCTTGTTTAACTGTCCATTATGTAATGCAGGATGCAAACAGATATGTGAATTATATACAGAAATTCATGTATAATAAATCAATATGTTTTGTTTTCATGATAACTCATGCACATATACATGCAAGACATAACTATTTTGCTTTTCTAGAAGCTTCTCTGATTAAATCGTTTTGTTTGTCAGGGTTGTAGAGGATATCTTGACCAAGTTCCGTATCCGCATGCGACTGCAACTAATGTGCTTTGGAGATCCTAAGAACCAGCAGACTGTGGCTGCACCTGACATGTGATGTTAGCGAGAGGACAAAAGTTCAAGGAGAGGAAGCCAAATGCAACAGCTATTCTCTGCAGTATACTGGGAAACACCTGTTTGAACTGTATAGGTACAGAATCTTGTTATGCATTGTGAAGTTGTACCAAAATTCTGTAAATACATACGTATAGTGTCTGCTAAGATTCTATGTAAAGACTATGGCAAATGTTTATGTACTTTATTTTAATTGATTTTTGTATTCTCAAGGACAAGTACATCTGGCCTGTCCTCTTATTTCATTGTTATTTCAGTACATTCATCAAGTATTTTCATTGAAAGAAGCCCTTATAGTTATCAAGCTCAGATATATGTATTTATTCCTTTTGTTAAATCAAATGTTTGTACTTTATATTGCTAACAATCTGTATACTTGAAACTGGAAGGTATATACATAATTGTTTCATGTATTAAATTAAAAGAAAATAGGAAATGTTGGCACAGCTTTCATAATATGGAGTTACAGAACAGAATGTGCAAAAGAGGAATGAAAATTTCCTGTTCATGACTCAACATTTGGACTTCTTAGTTATGTGTATGTCGGGTGCAAATCCACATTCCTGGAACTGACCAGTCATGTGTGTATATGCTTCTTTCGTCCCTGAAAAGAAATGCATTGTCATGTCTGCTATATCATAGCATTGTGGTCAGAAAGACAGACCAGACTGCACCTTTAGCATAAAGAAGCAAGAGGTTCAGGTGGTAATTCTGTGATCATTGGTGAAATAATATGGCATCACCAAGACCCTGAGAAGATTCATGAATCTGATATTATAAGGGTGATGCATGCATTCCATCCTATTATGTTCGAACAGGTTAGAATTTGTGACTTATGTATGTAATCTTTTTTTGTGTTTATTGGTATTGATTACTACACTTACACTTGGTTTCCTCAACTTTTATAATGATGCTTGTAAACTTGAAGCAGTACCTTTAAGGATGTATGTAGCTAAAGCATACAAACATTGATAAAGGAGAAAGAAAACATTTTGGAAGTGAAGATTTCTGTCTTCTGGGTGGTTGCGCTGTGTAGTCTGCTCGATGTTTACCAATATTTCAGAGGTCCTTGCTGCCTCCATCATTGCCCTGATGACGGAGGCAGTATGACTTCTGAAACGTTGGTGGAAATCTACCAGATTACACGGCTCAGTAACCCAGAAGACAGCAATCTTCAGACTCACCGCTGTGGAAACCTCACATCCTACATTTTGGAAGGTGATTACTAAATGTACAAGTATTTACATAATCCTTGGTTCCTTAACCTTTAAACTCTAAATCTGAGAGATAACAGTTTGGTTTAAACTGTACTGAATAAGAACTCTTATATTGTAAAGAAAATGTAAATGTAAATTGCTTGAAAATGTGATGCAACAGAGTTTACATATTTGAGAAGAATGGTAACATATCAGAATTGCAATAACAAAGAAATTAAAAGCCGGTCAAATTGGGGGAATTCTTGCTACAATGCAGTTCAGAATCTTTCTACTTTCTGCCTGCCATCTAAAATCATTAAGATTAAAATATACAATTCCCCCCCCGGTTTTGTGAGATGGTGAAAGTTTGGTCTCACATCAAGGGAAGAACACGGATTTGAAGTGTTTGAAAATAGGGTACTGGGGATAATATTTGGACTGATGAGGGATGAAGTTTCAGGTGGCTGGAGAAAACTGCATATTGAGGAACTCTATAATTTGTACTCCTCACCAGATATAATCAAATCAAGGAGGATTAGATAGGCACAGCATATAGCATACATGGGGAAATAAACAATGCATACAAAATTTCAGTTGGAAAACCTGAAGAAAAGAGACCATTTCAATGAGAAGGTAGTGTTAAAATGGATTGTAAGGAAATGCTATAAGAGGCTGGATTAATCTGGCTCAGGGTAGTTTGGTGGCAGGCTTTTCTGAACATCATAGTCAATATTTGGGTTCCATGAAAGGTGGGGAATTTCATGACTAGAAGAGCATACCAGCAACTTCCGAATAACTATGCACCATGCAGTCGGTTGTGTTTCAAAGTTAAGTAAGACAAGTAATTTGTATTCCAAGAGAGAATGGAGCACATTGAATTTATTGTGAGGTTATAATGTATATTGGACATTTTTAGAATATAACAGAAAGGTCTTCAAAATGATTAAGGTGATTTCTCTGTCAGTAAGATAAAAGTAATAATGTTTAGAATCAAAAGAACTTTATATTGATTGGAGCGAACGGAAGGTATATGCAAATCGAAGGTTAATTTGCACTATTTGTGATAGATGGCAGGAGCATTGTGACAGGTTCTGCTAGACGCGGTCAAATCAAGAACCAATATGTAGGTTTGTAATGCCTGCTTGTTTAAAGGAATGGGCCCACTAATAAGATTTCTTACGCTTGCTATATGAACTATATGTTGGTAATGAGTGTCATGTGAAGTAGGCGGAAGGCTACAAATTTAGTAACTATGGTTAAGTGCCGTTGTGAATGTCCGTGAATGTTTCTGCCAGCAAATTTCATAGAATATGAAATTCGTACCACCTCGTAAGAATTGTCCGTGATTCTTGTGCGATGTCAGCGAGTTACAGTAGTCGTGGAAGGTAATCATACATAATTTTATAGGATAAATAATAAGTATTATGTAGCAAAAATTATAGTCGTCCATAGAAAGTTTGGCTCAATTCGTACCGGACTTGTGCTTTCCGTATTTCTCATGTTCATACAAATTCATATTGAAGATATAACATTTGGTTATTAAGTCAGTGCGTTATGAAATAATTTAGTTCCAGCCATGAAACAGAGTTAAGCTGGCCTTTGTTTTGAATTGGTTTCGGAATTCAGTTGGCGCCAAAGAATGGTGTTCGGGCATAATATAAAATGGCCATCTTTATACCGGACGGACCAACAGTTGTAATGTAGTGTCTAATAGGCATTCATGGTCAGATGGTTGGCAGTTTTGCTTTTTATTCTGGAGGTCAGTGGTTCATATTTTGGCCTAGAATCTGGCTATGCTGACTGGGGTCTTTTGTTGTTTTCCTGAATTTCTTAAGGTAAGTACTGGGATAGTAATTTAAATTAGGCCATGACCACTTCCTTTCTCATCCTACTCATCCATTAGTGATCCTATTATTTGATGCTATGTACTGACAGCATTGTTAAGTAAACTGCAAGTACATAAATAAATATGCATTGAAAATGTTAGGTTGATCTGTCAGTTATTTAATAACAAACTGTCAACTACAGAGGTCATTCAGCATTGAATGACGTGCTGAACTGGAAATAATGGGAAAGGGATCGAAATGGTCTCAATGTGAATACTGGCTCAGTATTTATTTGAAGGGACTGAGTAAAACACCAAAAACCCTCTGAATATAGTCAGTGCTGAAATTGTGTACCTTCTGTGGACAAATAAAACTGTTCAGTGTTTAATATTTAGAAAAAATGTAGTATTGTTATCATCATTATCATCATTGGTGGCTCCTAGCCTGAAGTCAGGTCATGTGGAAATGCAACATTATTAAATTTTAAAAAAATTACACTATGGAGTTAAGGTATTTTAGTGGTAGTAGTAGTAGTAGTAGTAGTAGTAGTAGTAGTAGTAGTAGTAGTAGTAGTGGTGGTGGTGGTAGTGGTAGTGGTAGTAGTAGTATGTCACTGTCATTAGTAATGCAGCATTTTCCTTATGATAAGTTAAAATTTGTATTAAATATCACACCAAAAGAGAACAACATTTCAGCAACCTTCTTGAAGAACATTTGTACCAGTTGCCTTTGAGTACGTATAATTTTAAGGTACAGGCATCTAAAATGCTGAATATTTAGATATGCTATTGCTATATCATTGCTCGACAAGGAACATATTATTACAACAACTACAGACACCCACTGAACATAGAGGTGCCATGAACATTTTTTTCTACTAAGCATTGAATTTGAATATAATCTTCCATAATGCTGTCTTATATATTATGTCTTTCAAAGGAATATTGCTAAGACATTCTGCTTCAACTTCAGCTTTGATTTTTCAACAAAAAATTAGTATTACGACATAGATGTGAATGTAGAGATAGTACGTTAAATGAATTTCAGGTAGAAAATAAAAGGAGGTACTGTCTTTTGTAGATTATATTATAAAATATAACAGAAGAACATGGTTTAAAAAAGAAAGTGTAGTTGGTACAAAGGCCCCCACTTTTCTTTTTATTACCAATTCAAGGAGGAGGAGGAAAGAGAACTTTGTGAGTGTGTCAAGGCTTTGAAAACTTCAAAGACTAAGGTTACATCAATAAGTCTTTCATCCCCAGCTCTTTTGTGTAGAGTGAGCAAGAAACAAAGGCTTTTCTAAGGGGTTGAGGGAGAGCAAAGTGCTGCACACAGTCAAAGAGATCTTAAGGGAGGAGGATGAAGGGGAAGGAAGAGGTTGGTTTGATCTTTCACTCTGCTCATGTTTTGACCTCCCTCTTTTGCTCTAAGATGAGTTTTAAAAAGGAATGGGAGAAGTTGAGCTGCTTTCTTCTGGGGCATATATGTAGCAATAAAATGGTTTCAAAGCCCTTGTCTCCAATAATCTTACACATACATTAAAACCTGGTTGCATATACCAAAATATGGAAGGAGACAGGAAGTCTTCTAAAAGCACCTGACTTGTCATACTGGGTCCTTTTCTGAGACAGTTGGTAGCCTTTATGTCACAAAGTAAAAGAAGACATTTGCTTCATTGTCTGTTAATTTTTGTATCACGGAATTAGCACCGCGTTTTCAAATATTTAATATATGTGGGTTGTTAATATTATTATTTATAATTGTTCTTTTAGACATTGTCCATCTTCAAAATTATAAAAGTACAACGTTTCGAAAGCCGGATTCTGCTTCTCTCTGCAGATAAAAACGTTGAACTAGCTTCAGAGTAGGCTGTGTTGTTACCTAATGCACAATCGCTCCATCTGCTTCCCTTTCTCACAGCCCTCAAAGGGCACGTACTACCAGTTCTCATTGCACAGAATGTCGGATGCAACCCAGAATCGTTCTGGACGAAATCATGAAGAGCATAACTCCAACGGTGAGCAGTAAAATATGTTTTGCATTGTACAAGAACTTCCTCGAACGACCGAATTGAGCCTCCCCGGCCTTGGTAAAAACATGCTGACGGCAGCATCTAGCGGCTTACGCGTTATAGGGGCCAGCCACAAAGCCCATTACTGTGCGTTAGTGGGCATACCAATACTCAAAACAACAGGTATTGAAGCGATATTAACCCGAGACAGACTTGTGCCATTACTGCTTCACACATAGTACGACCCATATTTTTTGAAAACACTATTAATTCCGAGAGGTATGTCACATTCCAATGCCCTTTTTTTGAGAGCATTACAGAAGAAGAAATAACATGATTATTTTATGCGAGATGGTGCTACAGCACACGCTGCAGCTTATTCCATTAATGTTTTAAACCAAGTATTTGAAGACAGACTGATAAGTCGCGGATTGTGGCCTGCAAAGTCCCCAGACTTAAGTCTATGTGATTTTTGTCTGTGGGGAAGTCTAAAAGACAAAGTGTATTCAAATAATCCCCACGCATTCGATGAACTTAAGCAAAGCATTCGTGAAGCAAGATGTCAGTGAACTGAAACTAGTGTCAAGCAATCTTTTCAAGGGACTTGAAGCGTTTTTAAGAGCAGAAGGGAGACATTTTGAGCATCTACTGAGACGGTGAGTCTTTCAAACAAAGAATTTATTTTCAGAAATGCACATACGTGTTTATAGTGCGCGGCATTTCAAGCGCAAGACGGCACTAATTTTCCCCGGCAGATGCTGCTGGCGTTTCGCACTCACAAGCCGACGGCAAAAGAGGCGGGCGATTCCGTCGTTCCTGGAAGACTCGGTATAAAATTCTGTTATAAAATTTGCAGGTTCATTTGAGATGCGATTACAGTATACAAAGTCAGTATTTTTGTGTTAACAGAATGTTGATTCTCTATCTGCAGAAATGTTCTGGTTTCGAAACCAGAACCTTGACCTCACACTTGAGTGATCTCATTCGTCGGCGTAGAAAACGACTGCATGGGTAGATTGGCTGCCGAACAGATGTGTCAGAGAAGTTGCCGATCAGGAACGGCGGTATCTATCTCAGCATATGAGAGAAATATATCTGCCTGTTTATTTAAGTACAGTAGAATGCGCAAGACTTCCCCTCCACTTTTCGTTTAACTGAAATATTGTCCCTTGATGTTTCCAGTATGTCTTTATAGCTTATACTTCGTCACTTGTATGAGAGGATTGGTTTCAATATAGCCCGTTCTGAACTCCTTCCAAACCAGCGTCCAAATGTGTGGAAGTTGGTGTTCGAAATTAAGTTTCGTTGGCATAATTCTCAAATACTTTGATTCTAAACAGAGGAATATTTTCAGAATGTTATATCTGATGGGGGTAATAGCACGAAGCCAGATAGAGAAATTTCAGAAGGCATTTTTGGCCATCTGAATAAATTCCGTAATAGTTAAAAACACAGTGCCCTATAATTGTATGAATGACTAAAATGAAGCATTCTGGGCGGGTATGATGGATCGAATGTAGGCTGTTCAATGCTATATCGTTGGTATATCCATTCCTGTATCGGAATAGACGAAGGCAGAATGATGAAAATTAAAGAGGATGAATGTGTATGCCTACAAATAAAAAATGTTCCGGAATTTCCAGAAAACTAAAGCAGAATTTTCCTGTTATATTAGACTTTTATGTAGACCAACTTATTAAAAGTTGTGTTTCAAATTAATCGTATCCTAGTTGGTGGTATTGCTGATAGTGGTGATGGTGATGAATAACATTAACAAAGTAACCAGATCATTCACTGCAGTCCCCACATTAACACTGTTTTTTTCGAAGATTTATTTTGACATTGTTCTCCTATCAACGCGTAGGCCCTCGATGTTTATCAACCATCATTCCATATGCATTTCTTATTTCCTCCATGCTTTCTGTGTTTCTCGACATCTTATTCCCAATTTCATTTCCGTAACAATTTTAGAAGAAGAGTCTGAAGTGTTGAGCTTGTCATTATTTCGTTCTTCCGTCCTCTTCGTGCTTTCCCATTCGCAGATCTAAATACTTTCCTAATCACATTATATGCTATAATAGTTGTAACGACATTAAACAGGTTCAG